TCTTCAACCGGAAAATATCAAGTAATGTATGCTGTATTTTGCATACGAAAGGTTCCGGGCATTTGTCAGGAAATGCGTTCAACCCCTTCACCTAAAACTAGCCTCATTTGGGTTATATGCAATATTTTTGCATCGTGCATGTGCTTCCTGATGTTAACGGATCAAGAAATACCGTATGCGCCAGTAAAATTTCCGAACGCTTATTTTTTAAAAGAAACCTACCACAAATAAAAAACCCTCAGTCAGCATTAAAAAAAAAGCCATGATATTAGGTAATTTATAAATTAGCATTCGAATTATACTCCATGGAGGTGCGGTCTGTTATTCGTCCAAGGAAAGGTGGAAAGCAAGATTAAAAAATTTTCTAAAACATTTAGCTTATTTCTAAAATTTATTTCGGATCTCGCGGAGAACGAATCAATTCCAAATATTTTCTGCTCAAATGAATTTTTTGCGATTTGAAATAGCAGTAGAAAGTTTTCTTGTCAAAAATACTCCGAGGATATATATAAAAATTTGAAAACATAAAACTGTTCGATGTTGTAGGAAATCGCCACTAAGAATTTGTAATGCTATTTCTTACTCTCTGACTTCCTGATATACAGTAGTATTTTATAAAGCTTACCAGAAATAAAATTCTCTAGCTACCAACTTTTTTTTATTTTCTCTGCATACGTGTCATTATAGGGGGGGAAAATTGGAACAGCAGCCTAGGAACGACGCAATTTTTCTAAAGATCATTTGCAACTCAAGCTATCTCCGAACAAGACAAATTAATCATTTACTGATCAAAGAAGACACCAGACTGAAAATAATTATGAACCAATCCTCGTTAAGTTCTCGTGGATTCTCGGACGAGAAAAAGATCATGAACATGGTTTCAATTAATGTTAGGAAATTATTCGATGAAAGAAAAATCGTCCATGCTCGTGCTGAATGCTCTTGTAAAAATGCCTTGGGAGATTTTTAGCCTATAACCCGTTGTACCCAACGTCCGGATCCGAGTCGCTGGACTATAAAAAATCATCCTACTCACACCCACAGTCGAATTATTGAAGATGAAACTTGTTTGATTACAGGGGTGATCGAACTGGCCTGAATTGATGTAACGACGCTGGATGTCCGATAACTGAGAGAATTTATTGATCTTAAATCAAATCGTCTCAAGTCATGGAAACATGAACGGGTTCGCTGGTGTGAGAACCCCGTAAAATGCGGGGGGCGAAATTTTTAGAAAACATGATGTTCTCGTGGGTCAAAGTCCCACTCACGATTGAATTTGGGCCTTTCCCTGACTGATTCATGGTTCGGTGTCCCGGAGAAGGAGTATTTTTAGCGTCTTCACATCCTGGATGCTTTAAATAACTCGGTGCAATGTTTTTCTTTAATAAATTTTCTAAAATAAAAAAAGGAAAATGTGAAACAGACGCGGCTTTTGCAGGATCTTTGAGCCACTCCCGTCAACCACAAAGTCGTGACCGAAAACGATGACGGAGACGAAGAAGCACTCGGGACCCAGACAACCTTCTTTTACGCATTCAAGAGAATCGTTTGTGACATTATTGTCGAGGCAAATGAAGTGGATCATGGTTCAACTCGGGTTTTTCGTTGATAGTTCGCAACGACGAAGAAAAAGGGGCGATTTCCGAGAAGTGGCTTCCCGAACTCGTGGATTACTGTTGCACCCCGCCGACGATTACACCATGAACAAGCAAGGTTTTTTTTCCCCCCTTTTTGGTCTTTTTTTCGAGGGTCCTCGAGAAAATCCCATGGGGAAGGATTTGGGTACAAAAATCCGACCAGAACCAAAATCCCACGACTGCGCGAATGATTTTATGGAACATCTTTTAAAAACGTACAATCATCAGCACCAGTGTTAGAAATGACGACCAAAATTTAAAGTCTAGGAATCTAGGTCATCTGAAATTTCAAAAATTTGGATCTACCTGTATATGGGGTTCTGGTAATTAAACAGACAGTGAATGACCCTCCACGAATAATTATTTTAAAAGAAAATAACTGAATAAAATAAAGATATAAAATAAATATTAAAAAAAAATTTTGTTGTACAAGCAGATGGAGTTGATGACCTCAAGACAAAACGCAAAAAGAACATATTGTTCAACTGATGTCGGATTTTTGCAACAAATTAAAATCAGATCAGAAGCAGCACCGGAACATTTTTCTGGAAACTCCCGAATTTCAAAAAGTTTAGATTTTATATACTACTGTACTATACTGTACTGTACTTCACCTCGATTTGAAAACCCCTCGAAAAGAACGAACAAAACCGCAAACGAGAGCACTGAGGAAAATTTGCACAGTAAAAATGAAGAAAAATAAAATCACTCCATTCCAAAAACATGTTTAAAGCTTTTGTGGGTCTTTGATGTTATTATTTCGTACCTGTGAAATATCCTCCTTTTTTTAAACCAAGAATAAGAGTTTTTGTACCACTGAGATTTTTTCGGGGAGCCCTTTTTTTGTGCAAAGGGAAATGATTGAACCGCATGCATTCACCACTGCATGGTTTGATGCATTCAAACCAAGTTTTTATAGATTTTTTCCGAAACGCCGCTTTGGAATTCCGTTTCCGATTCGATAAGGAAGAATACTGCGTATTCCGGTTCATGTAAAAGTCGTGGTAAAGATTTTTAATGAGTTCTGGAAACTGCTGGACACTGAGATCTGCGGCATAATTTGGCACCCGTTTTCGATTGCGAATGAAACAGCGAGTTTCTCATTTAACTTCCGTCTGATGGATGAAGTAACTGAACTTTTTCATTCATCTTACATTTTGTTAGGATGTGCGTGCGGATCACGTAAATGCTATTTTAAATTAATACAATTTTACTTTAAATTGCACAGAATATTTGAAGAGCTTCACTTATTTTCAAATGCGTTGATAGCTTTGCTTAACCTGGCTTAGAAGAGACTGCATTTGAGGATTGCAACACGAGTGTGAGTTTTTCTTCAACTCTTCAGGTTATAAACTGACGAACGAACTCGACTGAGAGTCTGATTTCCATTGTTAACGCTTTCTATATGATGAATTGATACAACGATTCAACTCAAGTCCAATCTCTATTGTTGAAGTTACCATTGTTGGAAGTCACGATGATTAGGTTAACACAATTCGTGTTTGTGTATCAGAAAAGAGTTGGATGTAAGAAGAGTTGAGAATCACGTGCCAGATGTGCTGAATATATTTCGAAGAATCCTGATGAAAATATCGGGTTAGTGGGAGTTCAACACGAGCTGGAAAGAAAACGCAGGACATTCAGATCTACTTATATTTTTTATTTGTAAAAAGTGTAAAAACCCAGTTGTAACACAGAAAAAGCATCGGGATATAACCATATACAGATTTTCTACTTCATAGTTTTTCCAGATAATGTCTCTGTTTTTATTGATTGGTTTAAGCAATTTAAGGAATATCAAAGAAGGAGGAACTATTTTGATAATTTTGAAATTTTTCCTCCAAAAAGTTTTACTTCTTGTTCGCAATCCTACCTTCGAAAAAATCATATAACGTTTATTTAATTCGCGAATAACCCAGAAATATCAATTCAAAAATTGAAGGAGTATTGCATGGTTGCGTGATACAGTTTAAAGTTCTTTCAATATAAGCCTCGCATGTCTAGGACAATCTGCTTAGAAACTAAAAAAAATTCGCGAATAACCCAGAAATATCAATTCAAAAATTGAAGGAGTGTTGCATGGTTGCGTGATACAGTTTAAAGTTCTTTCAATATAAGCCTCGCATGTCTAGGACAATCTGCTTAGAAACTAAAAAAAATAAACCGAAACTCTATTTAGAAAATATAGCATAATTCAACAGAATGTCTTCTCACGACCTGTTCAAGCCATAGTACTGCAGTAATAAATTTTAGAAAACGTACGAAATAAATGGAATGAACTTCAGTGTAAATTATTTTAAAATTAGTATGTTGAACTCTTGGAAAAATATTGCTGATTCATAATCACTCTACTTTTCTCTCATTCTTTTGGTGTATTTTATTCTTATTCGCACAGTTTTAATTTAAGTAGATGAATGAATCTTAATCGGGAAATTTCTCACAAATGAAAGACAGATTTCCTTTCTTCTTAATCCTCGAAGCGGAAAATTTTCCTTTTGATGAAATTTCTGGAACAAAAAATAAAAGGAACTCGCAGATGATTTTTCAAATACCCGCGCGGTAATTGTATTTGCATGCCCACATTCAAAAATAACTTATGTTTCATCCAATAATGCCCACGATGATTCATGAACACAATGATTCCACGTCAAGGGTTGATGTTGTTGACATCCAGATTCGACGATCTTCGCGAATAACCCAGAAATATCAATTCAAAAATTGAAGGAGTATTGCATGGTTGCGTGATACAGTTTAAAGTTCTTTCAATATAAGCCTCGCATGTCTAGGACAATCTGCTTAGAAACTAAAAAAAAATAAACCGAAACTCTATTTAGAAAATATAGCATAATTCAACAGAATGTCTTCTCACGACCTGTTCAAGCCATAGTACTGCAGTAATAAATTTTAGAAAACGCACGAAATAAATGGAATGAACTTCAGTTTAAGTATTTTAAAATTAGTATGTATTGAACTCTTGGAAAAATATAGCTGATTCATAATCACTCTATTTTTTTTTCTGATTTTATGGGTGTATTTTATTCTTATACGCACAGTTTTAAGTAGATATAAGTAGATGAATGATTTAAGTATGAATGATTTAAGATGAATGATAGATTTAAGTAGATGAATGAATCTTAATCGGGAAATTTCTCACGAATGAAAGACACATTTCCTTTCTCCTTAATCCTCGAAGCGGAAAATGTTCCTTTTGATGAAATTTCTGGTAAAAAAAATAAAAGGAACTCGCTGATGATTTTTCAAATACCCGCGTGGTAATTGTATTTGCATGCCCACATTCAAAAATAACTTATGTTTCATCCAATAATGCCCACGATGATTCATGAACACAATGATTCCACGTCAAGGGTTGATGTTGTTGACATCCAGATTCGACGATCTTCGGTGTCGCATTGCTTTGGAGTAAATGGCGACGATGAATGGAAGCAAAGCTGATAGAACAGCGTTGACGCTGAACAAAGCTGCAAAGGCGAACATGCAGGACGAGTATGTGCCAGAAAATTCTGCAATTGCTCCTATGAAAATAAAAAGGAATCGTTTTGTTCAGTTTTTGACAGCATGTTTAATGAATGAATGAACAGAACACTTTATTTGCCGCTTTTCAGCGTTCACAAGGTTCAATCAAGATTTCCACAACCAAAACCACTTCCCACCCAACCCAAATCTACTCAATGACTTTTAATCACTTCAGAGCAGGAAAACGAGCATAAATTGATAACAAAAAAATAAATAAAATACAATCCACAAAATACAACTGGACTTCTGACATGTATGCATACACCCATTCATTCCCATGTTCAATTTTTAATAGTATGAAACATTTTTGAATGCTCCAAGTAACTTCAGTTGAATTGAATATTTTTAAAAAATCAAGCCGCAATAACCGACTCCATTTTCGCGAAAATCTACAGGAAAATGAAATTATTTTCTGCTCGTGAATGAATTGGACGCAGCAAATATTTGCACACAAGGCATTACCCATTCAATGCTGAAAATGGTTTGTTCCATTTATTCATGAGACATCTTTCAACCCAAATAATGTTCAAATAGTTCCTAAGGATATTTTTTTTATCCTGCTGAATCAAAACTACGTATGTATCCTCGCAGTCATTTTTGGTTCAGGCCATTTTAACGAATTTTTTTTCACCTCGCGAACCTGCAACTAAAAGTCCCAGAAAATGTGGGAGTACATCTCGAAGAAAGCCTAAAATATCATTCTGAATTATTTCAAGGTTTCGCGTGTCTGAATAAGTCATTCAAAGCCAGGTGTAAAAAAAAACGAGTGCCCATGGAAGCCTTTAAGTTCAAACCCAGTCAACCCCGGTGAGGAAACACGTGACCACTTCTTCACTCGCATATTTTATTGAAATAAGCGTGCTATTAGTCACGTCAATACATTCAAACAAATAAAATCTGACATTATTCCACAGAGAACTGAACAATCTTTCATCCGGCTTTTTTTTTTCAGTATAAATTAATGACTTTACTTGATTCTTCCAGTAGATACTGCAGCTGATAAAAGATCCATGGTGAAAAGTAAAATTTGGATTCATTTTTCTCGCAATCGATTTTTAATTATCAAAATCTACTCATTTCGAGTTTAGAAAATATCTGTACAATTAATTGCGAGGGGATATGGACAAATCAAGACAGACAATCTGAGACTGGACAAATCAAGGCATACAATTTGAGACAGGGACAATTGGATACATGGACAATTGAAAGTATGGACAATTAGAGACATGAGCATTTATAGACAGCAGGGACAATATGATGCAGGGACTATTTGAGGCAGTCCCAAAGCAACTCTGAAGTCTGAACAGACAAGTTCTTTTTCTTTTACACTCAATTTTCTGATTTTCCCGAGATTCTCTCCCCTCCCCCACTCTGAACACAATATGTTTAAATTTACACTTAATTTCTTGCAATCTTGATTTTCCCAAGATTCTTTTAGGAAGAATAAAAAGGAATAGGTTTTTATAACAATAAAAGCTTTATTCTCTTTTTTTCTGTTTTCATTCAGTAAAATTGAAAAAGAATCCAACTTGCTGTATTACATCAATTATTTTTTCCAATTATTGTCTTAATTATTCATCTCATGAGAACTAAAATGAACATACATTATTCTGATGAAACAGCACAATTTTTGTTTCTTTTCACACCTTCAACATACAATATTAGGGAGAAACACAGGAACGACATTTTGAAAGTGCCTCAGTCTCATATAGTCTCTCTCTCAAAATGTCTCAAATTCTCTCTGTTGCAAACTGTACCTGTCTCAAATTGGCCCCATCTTCATACGTTTCTGTCCCAAGTTGACCCTGTCTCCAAAAATTTCTGTCTCAAATATTCCCTGGCTCAAAATACCCCTGTCTTAAATTGGCCACATCTTATTGAGTTGTCTGTCTCAATTTGTCCTAGATCACTTAAATTGTTTGCAACTTTAACAAGCATCCTATCCTAATACTGGTGGACTCTCTCTAAAAAAAAAGTTCTGTGTATCAAATTTTTTCTGGTCTCATATAAAGTTACCCCCCCCCCCCTCCCACTTCTAAATAGGGGCTTTCTTGAAGAAAATTTTCTCTTCAGTAATTTTCTGGTCCATTGAATTTTGTTGTAGAGTGATTCCACCTGTACAGTAAACTGTAAAGCATATTACCAGTTCTTTGTTGGGGTTAAGAAAAAATTCGCCCCTGTTCCTGGATTATGTATGCTGTACACACACTACATAAGGCACAGTACAAAGGCATTTATGGCGGTAATTCGCTACTTTCGGACCAAAAAGAACGGGGCGCTCAATTGGGTCATAAACCGCCTTCTTACATCTTATACCGACTTTAATGCCCTGTGTTACGTTGGCTCAACTGTTTCTCTCTCCCTCTTTTCTTTGTTAGTAAAGAGGAGGTCGTTATCTATACTCCTAGAGATGAAGCCATCACATACTTACCTAAAGTAGGCCCGAAGGCGAAGGCAGCGAACTTGAAGACAACCTTGGCAGACAGGGACGAAGGAAATCGGTCCACGCTCAGGTGCTTAATTAGCAGCACGTTCGTCATCCCGACGGTACCAGAAAGAGAGAACCCGTATAATCCGCACAAAATGACTGTCGCACTCAATCCGGGTCCCAATGCCACTCCTAAAATATTCGAGGAAATTTTGAATCGAGGAAATAATGACTCGGAATTTGCAAACAGCAACTGGAATTATAAATGTAGACCTGAGGAGGTCAGAATTTGTAATACAACTGCATGAGTGCTACACTAACTGAGTTCTTGATAATGATTTCAATGAAGTGGTATGCTACGACTTTCATAGCTTGAAAACTACTGTCGTTTGAAATGTCACCCTAGACATTCCAGTAAATTGACTAATGCGAAAGACGAGTAGGAAATCACAGGAAAAGGGGGAAATCTAAATTTTGGACGTAAAATGAAAATAAATGGGAAAATATAGCAACATATTTTTACAATAAAGCTGTTGGAGCCAGTAAAATTTTTTTACAATGATAAATTTGTTAAAAAGCAATTTTGAAAACATTTTGGCATTTGGCAGCGATGAGCAAACCTTTCTTTAAATGATATCCGTTGTAACAATATTTTACTGCATAATTTACTCAATAAAGAACCACGTGTACCCACTTTTTCAAAATTAAGAATAAAAACGAAAAAGACCGGCAGACACTTTTACAAAATGTAGAAGCTTAGGGGTTCATCATGCCTGAGTCTATTACGAACTTCTCGACCTATTTTGAAAAACAATTAAAAATGGAAATAATCCAAAAGTAATTGTACAAGTATTTAAGTTCAATTCAAGTCGAAATTGAATGCCGGATCTGTTTAATTTTCCAAATACTGCATTGAACTTTTTCAATAAAAAAAAAATCAGGTGCACATCTCACTTGGGGATCGCTTTTTATTCAACTTTTGAACTTGAAACTCCGGATTTACATCTTAATTCATGGCTCAAAATACATTCTCAATTTAATTTGAGTTACTATAATGACAAATCCCACCAGGTAGTAAAAAAAAGAAAAAAGAAGATGCCATGTCTGGAAAGCGGGTTGAAGAACTGGATAAGATGAGCATTCCTATCACAAACCCCTTTCAATGTTAGGAAGCGATCGAAGTAGATACTAATTTGATGCTCAAATTTACTCCTGATGAAGCATTGCTCAATTCACAGACGCATGATGCGTGAAGAAGATAGGATCTTGTTCGACAGGACTTCCATTATAGTAGATTATTCCAAGGAATCCGGTGCAGTATAATAAGCAAGTCGAGAAAAAAAATACACATTGAATAAGAAGCATTGACATCTTCCTTCAGTAGTATAACTACAGAGATGTCTTGGTTCATCCATTCTTTAGAACAGTTCGTTCACTAAGTCACGTTTTCCCCTTAAGACAATACAGAAATCATTTTAATCACTTCCGAAGCTTTAAAAGTGCCCATAAAAATCAAAATAATGTGTCCATGAAAATTTTTACTGCTGGGTCTAAAATTCAAGAACTTTTCTTGATAAATTATCAGAGAAAATCACTGAAAGACAGCAGCTCTTTGAAAATTTTTCTTTTCAAAAGATTTGAGAGTTGTCCCACCCGTGAGCATCTGAGAAAATTCCGAAATTTAAAAAAATAAAATAATTTTTTTAAATTTTAGTGTGTGTTTGCTTGTGGGGAGGCTTTCAATCAAAGGCTGAAGAGGAACGGCACAAGAAATGTAAGTTTTGAAAATTGGGCTTAGTGATCACCTCAATATTCTATATGGTACTACAGTATACTGTATAACAAATCTTTACACCGACTATTTGTTACAATTCGTTACATAGTAACGATTTTTTTTAAACGCAGCTATTTTACTGTTACGATTGGTTTCGTTGTAACGATATTTTACTGCTTGACGGACAGTATTAGGAAGTGAACGAACGCCTTTGGGACCGTTCAAGGGAATTTATGAAAATTCTATAAATTAGAAAATGTCATTATTTGCTATTCTCTTATAATTTGAGCAACGCAGTATTATCGCAAGCCTTCCTGCATCATCAGTGGTTTTATCAGTGGAATTTTAGTCTAGACCGATTACGTTTCACTGGTCATATAGAATCCAGTTCCCAGTCGCCGATTGAAGGGAGGATTAATTACATGCGCAACCGAGTTCTTGATCTGCGGCACTGATTTCGGGAATATTACTGTATACGATCATCCTGAGTTTATGGAACACGTTTTGAATGTACTGTATTAAAATAGGACGTTTAATTCCCAATAATGAATTTGAAACACAAAATCCGTATAACTCGTTTAGTTCGATAGTCGAGAGCGACTCGGTCTGATCAAGATGCCTGAGATTGAATGTCAAAAGTGCCATCAAGAATAATATTTCGGTACAGTACTTCCAATATTTAAGCATTCAGGCCAGAAATCAGTCATTTTTTTCGCACTGAAATCGCTGATTTTTCACACAATTCATTTTATTCGGCGCTGAATAGTTAGGCACATTTATGCATGAAATCTTCGCATCAGCAGTTGAAGGCATGAACTCTTTGAATGAAATCTTAAAATTGCCTCGAATAAAATGTCTGCTTTTTTCAACATTTATGCATTTAATCCAGAAGTCAGTCAATTATTCCGCACTGAAATCGCTGATTTTTCTCATAATTCATTTTATCCGATATAAATATAATTAAGCACATTTACGCTTGAAATCTTCGCATCATCAGAAAAATATTTATCGGTACAAGCATATTTCGTATTCACAACGTGCAATTATATGCAAATATATGAATTTAACTTCGACTGTCACGCCATCATGCAGCAAAATTTGACAAAGGAAGACCATTCATTAAACACACTTCAAATATCGGAAATATCGTTAAAATCTCAACTACAGTACCAGCAAGTGCCAAAAACATGTTTCACTTTTAATTCAAATGTGAACTCGAGAAATGAACATTGGCAATCAAAACAGTGTGTACAGTGGCAATAATTTTAAATATTAATCTTGATAATCTAAGTACGGTATATTTCCCAGCAGTTTCGGAAAACGGCTTGAAGGAATGAATAACATGTGCATTGGAATCCGTTTAAATTACTGTATATCCACCATCATGGCGAGAAAAGGGAAACTATTTCCGGAGGCATCATCCAAAAAACGAGTATATTCTTGACACTGTAAAACCTCATTTTAAAAATTCGGGAAATTCAGGAAGAGTTTGTTATTCTGAATAATTTTTTATGGTGGGATTTTCAAAATTTTGTCTGGAAAAATTGTTCACAATGAATTTGCCTATACGCTATAATCAATTAGATCTTGCTTTTATGTCATTCTCAGATTTTTTAGCATTCTTTGAAAAAACTGAGTGATCTTCTTAAAGAAATTTTAGCTTGAATCATGCATTCCATCGATTTCATCAATCTCTTCATTATTCGATGATGATTGAAGATCTCTTCATTCTTGGATGATGATGTGTTGAACCACTTGGTAGCATTAAAAAAAATTTATTACAGCTTCCATACATTCTAAAAGAACCACTCAGTCACATTCGGGATTGAAAATTTCAGACTTTTGTCACGTTATACTAAACATTTTGTTGTAAAGATGCCATAATTATTGTAGAGAGATGTTACTGCAATAACTAACCAACTGACACTACGGCAGCAGCAGTCAATAATCCCGTGAAAACGTGCTGGTAGTTCATGGTGCCCACGTCCATCAGTGGCGGAACCACGAACCGCCCTCCGAGCTCCACCATCGCCACCACGGATACCAGCATGGCGCCTGCACCATCATAGAACCCGCGCTCCACGGCATAAAACGGCAAAGCCCAGAACATGTTATCGACAGCCAAACCAAGCAAACAGTCCATGGTTGTTAGCACCACAAAAGCTGGCTCCCGAAAAACGGTGAAATCCATCGACGTCTTGAACTTCTGCAACACGCCAGTCTTTGATACTCTGCGTTGAATTGAAAAAAAAATGAGAAAGATCTTGAAGAAATTATTTAAAAAACAGAAAAACAAATTGTAATTTTCCGGGGCGAACTGCGAGATTGATTGTAATACACTATGTCTATGCAAATCGTAATACAGTACACGATTTGCAGAACCACAGAAGGAGAATGACAGAGCAAACTTTTACCGCAATACAGTAAAATCTTGTTTCAACAACCTTTTGCAATGTGAACTTCACACAAAAAGTTTGTTGTACTGAATAATTTGTTGTAACAAGTTTTTCAAAATTAATGGATAGAACAATTGTCGCATCAGACGTGGCTATGATCAGTATATTACATCTGACTTTCCTGGCGTTCTCAGATTTTTTATTTATGTTTAAAAAACGTATTCATCTGAAGAAGAAAAAACATCAGCTTCAATCATGCATTCCATCATCAGTTGAACCAAACTTTCCATTCTGGAAGGATGATATAAGAATCTCTTCACTCTGATACAGTATGTGGAACCACTTGGAAGCATGTTTGTCATTGATCACAGCTTCAATCCATGCTTGAAGAACCAGTCAGTCACATTTGGGATTGGAAATTTCAGACTGTGCTTACATTTGTCAGGAAATGTCTACCTGGAGAATCTATTGAACATTCCTTGAAAAAGTTTGCTATAATATAATTGTGAAGTTTGTTATAACAAGACTTTTTAAACACGTACTCTATGCGCTTTCTGCCAGGACTTCAGAAAAAGTTTGTTTTACTGAAAAATTTGTTGTAAAGGAATTTGTTGTAACAAGATTTTACTGTTCTGTGTTGGGTGCTTTTACTTTTGCACCTTGCCCTGCTGCTTTTGAGAACAGTGTTCTCCAACCTTTTGGGCACGAGTACTGACAAAAAAAAATTGCAGACCAGCAAATTCCCAAAAAATTTCTGCAGACTGGCAAAGTTTCATAAAATTTTTGCAGACTCACCAAAGGTTTGCATAAATGTTATTAGGCATGCATTTACAAGAAAAATTCAGTTAAGAATGGTATCAATTAGAAAGTTAGGCTCTGAAAAAAGTTTCTCCAAATGAAAAATTAAAATAATTTATTTCTGCAGGTGACAAATTGTCTGAAGTGCTATCTGGAGAAAATCCAACTTTTATTTTCATCAGATAATTCAACTGCCATGCCATTGTCCTTCCAAAATTTTAGGCAAATAGAGAACAGCCTTCATCCCAACTTTTGATGAATTCATCATGCTGAAAACTTCCTGTGGAATGGCAAAAAAGTTCTGTGGACCTGCGCCAGTCTGCAGACCATGGTTGGGGAACACTGTTCTAGAATTTCAGGAGGGTTTTGCCTGAATCTGTTCAGTTACACAGTAATACCAAACTAGCGACCAAATCAAGCCCGACTATGCCTAACATAACTGATTTCAACTTAATTTCTTCCAACCTCGCCTAAAATAGCGCAGCGAAAGAAAACCCGAAATGATCTAGACCTCACCGACCGTAGAAAAGATTCGTGCGACACCTATGTAAAAACAAATAGACAAAGTGGATTCACAGATGATGTCGGACGGTAAAGCAAAGCTAACAAAATCTTCAATTCCGGCTGGGAAACACAAAACCCGAAAGCTAATTAACAATCGTCTTTCCGGACCACGCACAGACAATAAGAAAATAATTTTAATGATCAATCAGAATAAGAAATTTGGGTGAATGCGAATGGTTCACACCTGGTGTCAGGGGTGGAAGGTGAAGATCTCAGACGTGGGAACTGCGTTTGTATCATAGCCAAAACGATGGAATGCAACGAGATGGCGCCAAGCATTCTCATCATCCATTTGTAACCATATCGACGAGACAGGTATTCGGACAATTGTGTCATGACGATGACGCTGCCAGCCTTCGACGCCATGTAGAACCCCGTCCCGTAACCCCGACGCTTGAAAGAGGCTTGGAGATTCAGAAACGATACGAAATTCGCTAATCCAAATCCCATGCCTGGCAACAGAAAAATTCATTAAAATGCAATGAGCCTCTCAAGTTTCAAAAACGGAAACACGGAATTTCAAGTTAATCGGGTTTACGTAACCCTGCATGTGTGATCCAAAGAACATTCACTGTAAAATAAACGAATAATTAAATTCCAGAATGATACACGGAAAGCCGCAACAGTTTCTCACAGTCCTCAGACGGATTAAAAAGTTAAAGCTCCTCTCTGCAGAAATTTGACAGAATTATTTTCCTGCTGCTCTGTTGAAAGGACCATGACGACAATTGCAAAAAATCCTGCGCAAAAAAAAACGAACATGAAATGTTCCCTGCAAATCTAATAATTAAAGGAAACCCCCGAGAATCAGGGTTCAGTTCGTCAAGAATGTGATCCTTAAAACTAATTAAAACTTGCTCCTCCTCTTTGCTGTCAATCCTTTGGCAGCACAAATCATCTATTTGACAAGAAGCGATGCATTGAAGGTTCAAAATATGTTTCATAAATATGTTTCGCAGCAGATCTTGGCATTTTCCGCAATTTCATTGAAAAGTAATCATATTTCCGTGCGAAAAATCAGCTGATGCAAATAAAGTATTCTTTATATTTTTCTTTGGAAAAAAATTGGGAATAGAAATTTAAGGACTTGAAAATGCAATCCCGAACAAACAAAAAACTTTGAAATGCAGCCTTTCAATTTAAAAAAATATTGAATCAAATAGCGTCGAATATTTCTGTCGAACATAAACCCCCGATTAATTTAAATAATTTTCGAAAAATCTGTTGAAAAATGAAGTGCTGGTGCCTGCTTCTGATCCCTAAAACTTTTAACTCGCATTTAACTTCACATTTCTCAAAATTCAATTTTCTCGCCTAGATACGGTAAAGTATATGTATACAAACTACGGTGCATTACTGTGCCTTAATTGTGAGCCCGAGATCATTATGGGAAAAATATTACCTGTCGTATTTTTGGGCGAACGCGGAAGTGATCCGACGGTGGTCTTTGATGGGCTTCGCAGGAATTCCTTAACATGCCTTTATTTTCATTTAATTTGCTACGAGTACAACGACCATTTCATTTTGACATTTCTGAGAAGGCAAAAGTTTTCAGTGGTTAAGACTCACTAATCAGGACGCCGTGTGTCAGGAAGTACAAATAAGGGTTGGAGACAAAGGAAGACAGGACCAGGCCCATGGCGCCGCAAATCAGGCCGATGATCATCACTCTGTACCCAAACGAACCCAGCAACGGGCCTGCCAAGCAACCTGGAACCCATCAGCATCAGCACTTATAACAGGTGTCTTAAAATGCATCGTAACTTCTTATTATGTATCATATTATTACGGCAGCGTTTCCCGCTCGACTCCTTTTTGTGTAACTCTCTCAAAGCCTTGAGTTCTGTACTCCAAGTCTCTGGAAAAGGTCTTGCTTTGTTCGGTGATGACGTACAGTACAGTATATAATAACTTAATTAGGATTTAATTTTTTATCGGGTACTGCTCATTTCAAATTAAAAAAAAAAATCTACTTCCAATTCAACGCAAACCAGTTCAAGAATTGTATGACAGCAAATCCTTGATCCTAGATTTTCTCATTTCAGCTTCTCATACTGAAACTAATCGATTCCTGAACCCGGCAATGATTAACTGTTCTTTTTTTTGTTGGCTCTTACCGGAGACGAAGTAAAGGGCTCGTGCTGAATTGTAAATGCTTGACGAGAGTCCGGGTTTTGCTCCTTGTTGGCCCAGGGGTTCGCCGAAAATGACTGCGAAACTTGGACTGAAGTTGGTCAGGAACTGCCCAGAATGTTTTTTTTTTTTGTTGCAGAATCAGATAATTCAAGTGTGTTCAGAATTTCCTTTTACATCATGAAAAATTTACTTTGCTCACTCATCCTACTTCCTTAAATAGAACACCTGCTTCATTTTATGCTTCTATAATCACACACACAAAAAACCAGGGAGTTCTTAGCTACAAAGAAATTGTAGTTCATGGAGAAGTCCAAAAATGTGCCCTCATTCAATTTGACTGATTATTTAATGTAATTAATCTATTCTATTCCAGAGGATAGAATTGAAGCACTTTATGCACACAAAAAATATGCACAGTTTAAATACAGTATGAGAAATCATCCAGCAAAATTTCTTTCATTGCGACGTTGTAGCCTTAATTTTTCCAGTAAACTTTATATTATTCGAAATAAAATTCAAGTGAGCTTTTGTTTTCAGTTTAAATGTATTTCGACTGAGGAGACATCGTCTCTAAAAATTTGGTAACTTTTTCGCAATCTCAACTGCAGATATTCATGGTGTATTTTTCGGACAATAATTTGACACTTCGAACTATCAGTTGTACGAGCAATGGACTTTTCATCGAGTTCGAAGAGGTTGAAAAATTAAGATGCGTCTCAGACTTTATGGTGTCCAGTACAGTACTGTACAACACCTGTTTATGAATAAGGTAATTTTACGAGTATGACATGAAATGGGTTTTAAAAAATTATATTACATCCGCGATTCGCACGACTCACAACTTGTGCGCAGCAACAGATGAGCACTGTCCACTCTGCGGAACTCGTTTTTGGCGTTGACTTTTTCTTGGTTTCCTCAATTTCTTTGTCTGTTTGCTGACTTTTTACACTACTTATCGATCCTGCGATGCTTTGTGTTTCCACATCACCACCACCACCTTTCCCACTTTTCAAACCCGTATCCGTTTCTTGATCATTTGTTTTGTCTTCAGTCTTCTCGTCAACCTTGCACTGAACATCATTCGCGACATTCTCGGTCATCGTCGTTTGTCCTTTTAGATCTGAATATTAATTCGAAAGACTTGAACACAACTTCTGGCGAAAAATGTACGAGGAATGGTCCATAAGTTAGCGGACACAGGATGGACGTGGAATTTTAAACATGAAAACATATCTTAGGTATTGATAAAATAATACGTGAGAAATAATAAGATGTAAAATAATAAGTGAATATAATAATCTTAGTAAAATGGGGAGCAGAGCTTCAAAAAAAGTTCTCTTTATGTCTAAAAATGATCATCCACGAACAGGTGCTGTGCAAATATTGTAGATCTATTCTTTGGATGGACAAGTTGTGCGTTTTTAAAAAGGAGAAACAACTGTACAGTATATGCAATTTCTGTATGCTTGAAAACACCGAAGTGTCTCACTCAAAGAATTAGAAGGCAATTCGATTGAAAGCTTTAAAAAAAATTTAAAATAACACCTCTTCACTTATATGCTTTTGCTGCAGTCTCAGAACTTATGGACCATTAAACGTTGATCAAATAATAAATTACCGAAAAATAAATTGACAAGAGAACAAAATCAGTTTATTATATACGAAGCTGCTCACAGCTCAATACACGCTGGAATTGATCACATTTTCGAACCAAAGCCTTGCAGATGCCTTTGCGAATTTAAATTCGCTGGTCATACAAATGACAAATTCGCGTCAAATTCGTCTCACCAAGAGCAGGACTACAAAAGCAATCAAAGCACTGCCAAAATGCATTCCGGATAAAATGTAAAAGGCCACCGAGGATGTCTTGAAATGTTGGACAAACAAACCTGGACGGAAATTGAAAAAAAATATTCTCTTGGATTTAATGAGTATTTTCGTGATGAAAGACTCACCAATTACCGTTGCACAGCAGAAAAATATGGATCGAAAAAATGCCTTGAGGTATTTTCTGAAAGTCACTTTGTCATCCAAGTATCGCTGGGCCAGAATTCCGTTGATGAATTGCGTCAATCCGGATTTTGTCAATCCAAGAAGCGCACAAATGGCGATGGTGGCCTCGAAAGAAGGATTCAGAGCTATACCTGAAGAAATAAAAAATACTAATAATAACTAACACGACGAAAATGCAGCCATTTCTGAAAAACTGAAAATCTTCCGAAAGTAACAGGACAAAGCAGACTTGCAGATATTTAGGATAAACAAGAAAAAAAGCTGAACAATTTCAAAATATTTTTGATCTTTAATGGTTTATGATTTAGGTACTTCGGCCTATCACGAAAAAGGCTAGATTACAGTTGAATAGCTATATGTAATACATTTTGAACGAAGTCCACTTTTGTAGTTTTCATGAAATAGTAATTAGCAAAACGAAAAATACTAAAATGCGCATAAGCAAAAAAATCGCACGCAATTTCTTGCGAGGCTTCGAGGGACTCATATGGACAGGTTGTCCTAGTATCGCGTGCCCTTAGATTATTCGCAAGCAATTGAACTAGCACGAAATTTCCATCATATAGATTTTATAATATTTTTTCAGAGGTGTTCGATAACTTTTCCAAAAATTTCATGAATTTTTTCTGCTTACCTTGAGGCAGCATTTCTGCGAACCCTCCGTGGGAAAAGAAAACACAATGTTTGTTTCAATTTTACAGCATATAATTTTGCAGACTTTTCTGACTGCCCAGTCGAAATGAAATTTGAAGATTTCCAAATGAAGTATAGCATTAATAGGTTATTGATCAGAATTATAATAATTGTCAAGCCGACACTGTCATTTGAGCATCACACGTATTCGCGAGTGCGACAAATCTTCTCAAAGAAAAATATCTGCGGTATTTCGCGACTGGTTTATGCAATTTATGTTAAATGACGTAAGAAGATGCATCTTCTGGGTTTGGATTACACGTAAACATCGTCTCTCATGATCAGAAGCCATCGATCATGCTGACGGAGTTCAAATAGAACAGAACGGCAAGCTGGATAAACTCGGGATTGAAACAAAGCAAACTTTTTTACATACATATGAACCCAACATTTATTTACCGTAATTATCTGCTGATTTGCGTAGCTTCTATTGGGACATCAGCGGTGTCGAAATTTAAAAGTGAGTTCACCTGTAAGTGAAATATCGACAAACAATAATTACCCAGAGTAACGAAAAAAGCATATTTTGGGTCTCACATTGGGTTTTAACTATAGTAAAATGTAGAAGAGACTCGATTTAATTCGAGAATGTCTATGAAAACACCACCATGGCGAAATAAATACAATTTTATGAAGTTTTCCAAGATACATTTAATCGCTCATTTGGAATATTTTATAAAAAATGCATTGAGCGTTGTACTTTGGTCAGATAATCTGGCGGATAAAAATGTCTACTGATGAGCAAAAACGTACCCAAGTCAGGTTCACAATATTTAATATAAGGAAATCGAGCGAGTATTTAAATTGAACTTGGAAGATTTCGACTCAATTGGTGCACCGTAAGATCCTCGTGAGAGGAGACCAATTTTCAATATATTGGATGGAAGTACATTAATTATTAAAAGTTCATTAAAATCGCTGGTAACAGCAATTTTTAAAAACCGGTTTAATAATTTGCAGTAAATAAGATAACTGTTACTGAATCAGTCTACTGTATGTGGTCAAGAGTAATCTGCGAAGACCTCACCAAATTTTCCCTTTCTCACATGAAAGGCGAAACACCGATGAAAAAGATTTTACAAGTCTGTTCCGTATTTGCCCATAATATTTTTTCCACTGTTCGAATGCTAGATTTTGAAAGATAAGAATTCAAATAAATACTATGAAGGATTATCAATAAGATGAACGAGCGAACCCAAAAAGGCAACGCCCAAAAAAATGGTCACGGAAGAACACGAACGATCAAAACGTCACTTTCAGGCCGATCAAATTACAGTACTGTAATAAATTGCTCTTTTATCCATTGAACCCTCGCGGGGGTCTTTTTTTACTGCAGCATACGGGTTTATCTTACCCCTTAATTCTTTATATACACGCTGAAAATCGTGCGTTCGACCAAAACTCGAGAAATATTTGAGGATTGACAAAATAACACTGAAAATTTCGATAAAAAAAATCAACGTTCCCCCTTTAAAATTTTTGTATTTTTAAATGTTTTGATAAAACATGCGAGTTCACGACCTTTCCAACCTTTTTGGGCTCGCAGATTGGCAAATTTTCATAAAAATGTTTTGCAGACCGGTAAATCTATAACAAATTATCTGCGGACATGCAAAGTTTCATACAAAATTAGCATACTCAAAAGTACAGTATTTGCTTGAAAAACTTATGTCAGGTATTTAAAAAGTTTCTGCCTCCTTACAAAAATCAAGTTAAGAACCAAGCAGCTATATTGGAATGCCTTTAAAAAATGTAGAAATGTGGGCTTGAAGGAAGGTTTCTCAGATATGAAACATTAAAATAGTTTATTTCAGCAGGTGAAAGCTTGTCTGAAGCATTATTAAGAGAAAAGCGAAATTTTATTTTTCATTAGATAATTTTGACTGCCAATGTCTTTCCAAAATTTTAGATGAAGATAACAGACTTCATTGCTACTTTTTAAAAAAATTATTAAATGCTGATGCATATTTTCCAAAGACCTGAAAGAAAATTTCTGCAGACCAGCGCCAGTCTGTGGACCATGGGTTGGGGAACACTGGCTTTACTCATGCAAAAATACGTAATCCATTCAAAATTACTGCATGATCATAAATCAGGCACATCCTTTGTTTCCGACCCGAACACAACTAATCACAAGTACAATCTAACTAGCGACATCTATACGGTCACCGCGTAGAACCAATCCAAAACCCTGTGGTAGGCTGATCATCGTCTTACACCTTCTGCGAGCTTACACTATAACCGTGTTTCATTTTTTCCTCGTAGACAGTCATTCGCACTGTACACAAAGTTATAATCTGAGACACGAACCTGTGTTCAGTCCAGCCGCCACGACGAATAAAACTCCGTACATGAACCTGCTGTCCCAGCACTTGAGATCAAGCAGCATATTAGCAAAACGAAAAATACTAAAATGCGCATAAGCAAAAAAATCGCACGCAATTTCTTGCGAGGCTTCGAGGGACTCATATGGACAGGTTGTCCTAGTATCGCGTGCCCTTAGATTATTCGCAAGCGATTGAACTAGCACGAAATTTCCATCATATAGATTTTATAATATTTTTTCAGAGGTGTTCGATAATTTTTCCAAAAATTTCACGCATTTTTCCTGCTTCCCTTGAGGCAGCATTTCTGCGAACCCTCCGTGGGAAAAGAAAACACAATGTTTGTTTCAATTTTACAGCATATAATTTTGCAGACTTTTCTGACTGCCCAGTCGAAATGAAATTTGAAGATTTCCGAATGAAGTATAGCATTAATATGTTATTGATCAGAATTATAATAATTGCCAAGCCGACACCGTCATTTGAGCATCACACGTATTCGCGAGTGCGACAAATCTTCTCAAAGAAAAATATCTGCGGTATTTCGCGACTGGTTTATGCAATTTATGTTAAATGACGTAAGAAGATGCATCTTCTGGGTTTGGATTACACGTAAACATCGTCTCTCATGATCAGAAGCCATCGATCATGCTGACGGAGTTCAAATAGAACAGAACGGCAAGCTGGATAAACTCGGGATTGAAACAAAGCAATTTTTTGTTTCATACCTATGAACCCAACATTCATTTACCGTATTTATCTGCTGGTTTGTTTAGCTTCTATTGGGACATCAGCGGTGTCGAAATTTAAAAGTGAGTTCACCTGTAAGTGAAATATCGACAAACAATGATTACCCAGAGTAACGAAAAAACCATATTTTGGGTCTCACATAGGGTTTTAAAGATGTAGAAGAGACTCGATTTAATTAGAGAATGTCTATGAAAACACGGCCATGGCGGAATAAAGGAAACTTTTATGAAGTTTTCCAAGATACATGTAATCGCTCATTTGGAATAATTTATATAAAAAATCCATTGAGCGTACAGTATTTTTGTCAGATAATGTGGCGCATAAAAATGTCCACTGGTGAGCAAAAACGTACCCAAGTCAGGTTCACAATATTGAATATGAGAAAATCGAGCGAATATTGAAATTTTAAAATCCGAAATTAACTTGTTCGACTCAATTTGTGCACCCTAAGATCCTCGTGAGAGGAGACCGATTTTTAATATATTGGATGGAAGCATTTAATCATAAGAAGTTCATTGAAATCGGTAAAACCAGTTTAATAATTTGCAGTAAATTAGATGACTGTTCCTCAATCAGTCTACTGTACGTGGTCAAGAGTAGTCTGCGAAGACCTCACCAAATTTTCCCATGAAAGGCGAAACACCGATGAAGAAGATTTTACAAGTCTGTTGCGTATTTGCCCGTCATATTTTTTTCCCCTGTTCGAATGCTAGATTTTGAAAGGTAAGAATTAAAATAAATACTATGAAGGATTATCAACAAGATGAACGAGCGAACCCAAAAAGGCAACGCCCAAAAAAATGGTCACGGAAGAACACGAACGATCAAAACGTCACTTTCAGGCCAATCAAATTACAGAACTGTAATACATTGCTCTTTTATCTGTTGAAACCTCGCGGGGGTCTTTTTTTTTTTTACAACAGAACAAGGGTTAGTTTTACCCCTTAATTCTTTATATACGCGCTGAAAATCGTGTGTTCGACCAAAGCTCGAGAAATATTTGAGGATAGACAAAATAACGCGGAAAATTTCGATGAAAAAAAATCAACTTTCCTTTTTTAAAATTGTTGCATTTTTCAAATTTGCTGATAAAATATGCGAGTTCATGACAGAATAAATCAGAATTTTCGGTTCAAACCGGAAACATTCTTTTAGAATAAAATATAATAATGATTTTATAGTACAGTATAGTACTAATATTTTTAGCTTTACTGTGTATCTAAGAATACAATGATGGCAAATGATTCACGATCATTTCCCAAAAATGTGATGATGAGAAAAATATTTATTTCTTTCGTCCGCGGCAAGATTGCACTTGACAAAATCAGAATCCCATTTCTCTCAATTCTTTTTTCTTATCTACATCACTTTTTACCATTGAACAGGCTATCTAAGATTCCACAATGACAAAACCTACAGCTATGGAAAATTCAACACCCATTTAAATCTGACACTACAGCACATGAATTTTCTCGCCTTTTTTTCTCATTTGAAAAAAATTAGCTGAACGAATGAACTAAACCCAAGATAATTCTTGGATTACGTTTTTATGACAGATTTATCTGATTACCCTCGAAATTGTGGAAGACATTACAAACATGCGGTCAAGGTAATTTTTTAGATTGATTCTTTCTCCAAACTTCTTTGGCACATTGTCTGCAAAACTGCATTACAAACATCGACTCTTTTGATCCATTCCATAAATGCCAATTCTAGCCAATTTTCAGCAACGTAAGGCCCTTGAACTTGAAAATTTTAAATCTTCAACGCCGCTCGCAAACTTTTTAGTTCATTTTGGGGGTTTTTAAAGGAAGAGGTGTGGCTCGATTTTTTAGGCATTCTCTGGCACTGCCATCTTGCAAAATATATCCAAAATGTAATAATCGAGTCAAGCATCAGTGAATTACTGGTCATCTATATGTAAAGAGTAAAGCCAAAAGCAGCAGTACAAAAATTGAAGACAACAAATGATCAAGACAAAATCCATTCAAACACTGACTATTTCAAATAATTAACACAGTGCTACCCAACCTTTTTGGGCTTGGAGAATGGCACATTTCCATGAAATGTTTTGCAGACCATCAAATTTATAAAAAATTACCGGTGGACCTGCGAATTTCATAATAAGTTTTCAAACTCAAAAGTATTTGCTTGAAAAACTTATGTCAGGTATTTAAAAAGTTCTGCCTCCTTACAAAAATCAAGTAAAGAACCAAGCAGCTATAGTGGAATGCATTTTTAAAAATTTAGAAATGTGGGCTTGAAGGGATGGTTTCTCAGATATGAAACATTAAAATAGTTTATTTCAGCAGGTGAAAGCTTGTCTGAAGCATTATTAAGAGAAAAGCCAAACTTTATTTTTCATTAGATAATTTCGACTGCCATTGCCTTTCCAAAATTTTAGACAAAGATAACAGACTTCATTGCTACTTTTGATAAAATTTAGTAAATGCTGATGCAAATTTGCCACAGACCAGCAAGAAAAGTTCTGCAGACCAGCGCCAGTCTGTGGACCATGGGTTGGGGAACACTGACTCATGCAAACATACGTAATCCATTCAAAATTACTGCATGATCATAAATCAGCCACATCCTTTGTTTCCGACCCGAACACAACTAATACAAGTACAATGTAACTAGCGACATCTATACGGTCACCGCGTAGAACCAATTCAAAACCATGTTGTAGGCTGATCATGGTCTTACACCTTTTGCGAGCTTACACTATAACCGTGTTTCATCTTTTCCTAGTAGACAGTCATTCGCACTGTACACAAAGTTATAATCTGAGACACGAACCTGTGTTCAGTCCAGCCGCCACGACGAATAAAACTCCGTACATGAACCTGCTGTCCCAGCACTTGAGATCAAGCAGCAGCGTCACCAGAGGTCGCCCCACCAACTCCGCGGCATGCAGGGCAACCAGCAGCACAGCTCCGACCCTCGCGCCCCAACCCCGCTCATCCGCGTAAATCGGCAGGGCCCACAAGAGGTTCCCCATCGCCGCCACGAGCAACCCGTCGGCGACACAAACCAACACCAGCGCCGCTTCACAATCCGCCCAACACCGTTTGCCCGCACCCGTTGTAACAGCTCTGCTGATGGGCTCGTCATTTTGGCCCCGGGCGATTCTCGGGCGCATTTGCATGCGAAGCAAGCGTTTGCTCTTGACAACGTCCGACGTAGACACTATGCCCAAGATTACAGTGGTGAAGGTTATTCCGGCGACGATGCGCAAGACGTCTTTGAAGGCGAATTGTTCGGCGAGAAGAGCGACACCTGCCGGGAGAGCAGCTTTGCCGAGAACGCTGCAGCTCTGGAAGATGCAATTCGCGACTCGTCGCTTAAGGAAGAATGTGTGCCGCAGTTTGAGTCTCGTCGCGTGATACAAAACCCCACATCCACCACCTGTAAGAAAAAAATGATAATAATAATAAGCATTTGTAAAGCTCACAGAGTTCATAAAATTCAGTTTAAACGATCAATTACCGTTGTAAGTGCAAAACAGACTGTAAAAATATTTTTTAACCTCCATTTCAAGAAAAAACAAGGCTCGCATCGGTCATAAAATTGAGATGAAATCTAATTAGTAGCAAAATTCACGTTTTATGTACCATTTTAACTTACAAACGGTTATAAATTCTTATATTTTTCTGAGCGTAGCCAGTATTTTAACTGTGCTTTGCTAGTAAATAGCAACATTCACTATAGCAGACGGTAAAATTGAAGGAATCCCTTGTACTAATCGAAAAAAAAACATTAAAATCAGCATCCGAGTCGACGCTTTGTTTCGGAATAATTAAAGTAGAAAGGAAAAGAACGTATGTGATGAATACATTTGGGGGAAATACAGTAGAATAATTTATCTCTTGTTTCAGAGTAGCTAAATATGATTTTCCTGCAAAATAAATTCGCCGAAATCCACTGTTAGTCGTAGGTCGAACGTGCGTTTTTTTATTTTATTTTTTTTACAAATTTCACAATTGGATCGACTAGCTGCTGAAATATTTTACATTTCATTCATACATAAAGTTCCTTTAACACGGAACTGTATTGCATTTCGATTAATGACTTTCACACATGAAAAAAAGGGAAGAAGGTATAATTCACTCACCGACGAGAAGACTGTACGTCGCAAAATATGCCAACAAATTAGCAACTAATGACGATGCCACGAGTCCGGACCCTGTCATGAAAATTCCGGCGACTAA